TGTCACCTCATTTGGCACTTGGATATAAGAGTCACTGTGATACAAATCCAGGGCACAGACAAATTCCCATACAAGAAACACGGACAGATGTTTCTCAGGGACAGTAGTGGCTCACTAACAGTTTAGAACAGGTGAGGTCTTACACCTTTGCACCTCTTTGGTGATTTCCCTGTCAATCCTATCCTAAAAACCTCAGGACAAGAAATTAACTAATGATTCCAGCAGATCGGTCCCTGACATTAGGCTGAATTTTGTTTGAGCCTGTATTCACAAACCAGGAATCTTTCCTTTGAACTTTATCTCTTCTTCAGAAATAGTTCAAAGCATTTTGAGGACATGGAAGCCAAAATCAAGCCTGAAAAGTACCACAGTCTCACTTAAAATACTCAATTTTTCTCCTGAGATTTCTACTGTTGCTTTCCGTAGCTTGTCAAGCAACTCCCCTTCAGATTCAGCCAAGTATCTGCAGTTCTCATTCATCACAAGCCTCAGAACTGAAGCACTCCAGCTGCTCTAGGGCTATACCCTTAAATGGGATCTTGCTGTGATGTTATACTTGCCTGTTGTTATGACCTTGGCTATTTTTGACAAGAGATAGAGATGAAATAGGTCCTTGCTCCTAATGACTGTCTGGACAAAACATCCTTTCTAAAGAAAACTATGTTATTCATAGGTGTACATTACTGATCAGCCTATGCCAGACAGCAATATTATAATCTCTCTCCCCAGGTGACATAGCATGAAGAAAGATGGTTTGGCATTATTATGCCAACGTCTCTTTAATTACACTTTGGGAAAGTACTATATTTTCTCCTGAAGCTAACAGCAAAACAAACAGTTTGAAAACCACTTTATTTTTTCATTACAAACTCTGTGTTTGTTTACTTTGAAATTTCTCAAACTGGCACACACAATTTTGGAAGATTCTTGCTTTTAATTCAAGGGTCTTGCTTTGAACTTCCTTTTTCCCACCTGTTGTCCAGAGTTATATGAATCCCCTTTTAACCAGAAAGATTTCTGTGATCTTCCCCACAGTGAAAACCACTCATGAGATCAAAATGGTCTTTAACGATATTGCCTGATGAGTTTTAGCATTTTGAAAGAAAGATCATCTTATTCATTATAGGCCTGATGAATCCAATGAGAGGCTTGTTTAGATTTCAGTGAAGTCTTTTAACCTGTTTCTTCAAAACTGACTCAGCAACATTCTTAAACACCTGCTTAATTTAAAGCAGATTAAAAGTCTTACTCATGTGTCAAGTTCAAGATATGCTTAAGTGCTTTGCTGGATTGGGGCCTAACGGCCTGCAAATACAGATGGCTATTATCAAGACCCAGAAGAGGCCAGGTAACCACCAACAGTCAATTATATTCCTACCAGAATTTCAAGCCAGTATATCATACTGTTTGAAGTTAATTGCTTTGAAATAATTGGACAGGTGAGCAGATAAGTTCACACAGAGCATTTGCCATTTTCCTTTGTATTTAAAAAAAAAACAACAGTACAGATTGCATGGACAAAACGGGCATGATTTTAAGTTAAAAGGGAATGGAAAAGGTATGGGTTTTTTTTTTAAAGGACTTTTCCTTTTAATTTTTAGCATCATTAAAACCCTGAAAACATTTTATTCAAGAGCTTCTTTTGTTAATACCTCATTACTTCTCTTTTTATTGTTATGGTAATCAAGCCTTAATATATTGCAGCTTTATAGCATGAAATCAAGGCTAAGCCTGTGGGCATCGACAGATGTACAACAGCATGCAGTAAAACACAGGTATAGAGGCATGCAGAGCTGAATATGGCACAGGGTTTTTTTATAATTGTTTAGCAATTCATCTGAAGTTATTTTAACCTTGACAACAGATGAACTCTAACATGTACCATGATCAGTCACTGGAAAGCTGCACCAAATAGCAAGTTTTGTGATTGTAGTCTTACAGGCTGAGTTTTAGGAAAGCATGAAACAAAGTCTGAGAGATGATTAAATTGTCTGGATGACTACAGGCTGTAGCTGTAACTATTCAAAACATTTAACTGAGTATATTCTAGCCAAGGGAGAATGGTAACACTGCGAAACTGCATTTAACACCAAAAGCTTGCCTCCCCATAGGAAAACCATGCTCAGTGTCAGAACTCATACCCTCTCCTGGCACAGGTAGTCTTTGCGGTGCACCAAAAAAGAAAAACTTTGGGTCTGAAATGACACTTGGACCTTGTGCTGGAGCTCTGCTTATGGTTGAATTTCACCCATCAAATCAAATGAAAGTTATATATTACTTTTAGAAAGTTATAATGGTCTTGTCTGCAAGACCTGTCTTGTTGAAATACTATCTCAAAAAGAGTGAGTGCCCCTAGATCTTTTCCAAGTAACCAACAACAGATGACCCTCAGTGTCAGGTAGGCTCCACTTCTCAACATTGTTTTCAGGAGAGATCATTCAGGAAAACATTACAGCTCCTAGGAGATTTTCTAAATTTAAAGGGAGTGTTTTGGCTGGCAATCCCTTCCCCAGTAAAATAGTTTCAAACAGCCAACATTAAAAGCAACATGCCTGTAACTTAATAAAACCATGATACTGAGGACTGTGCAGGAAATTCGTATGGCCCCACAGGGCGTGGGGTGGCACACATAGAGCTTGGGTTTGTCCAGAGCACAGCCATTCCAGAACATCCACACACCATATCCGCCACTGCAAACATGTAACCTTCATGGTAGCTAGCCAATGTTAATGAAGTAATAGGAAGAAGTCAGGCACAGGTGATACATTATTCCAGTAGAAGTGAAAAATGTTTTCCACATTATTACTGGATAACAGTAAGACATGACCCAATATGTGGATCATTTATGTATCTGAAAAACCTGGTTAACCTCGGTTAGGCAAAGGCTCCCAGCTTCTCCCTTGGAAATACTCAGAGCAACAATGTACTGTATTCAGCTGATATCTGTTCTATACCTTTTAATTTAAATAAAGTCACCTAACAATAAAGAGGCCAGTCATCCAAATTTCTAGTGTCAAGCGTAAAGGCGAGCCACTCTCTCAGCTGCAGTAAAAGCCAGCTTCTATGAGACCACTCACACTTACAAGCATTACATTAGACACTGCTTGTCACATCAGACCTTAGGACAAGAATGCAAGTTGCCCAGTGTATAACAAATGGAATGAAAGACAATGGGTACTATAGTCCAGCAAACACACTAATTATATTAATAAAATGAAAGTTTAAATTTTGAAGCTAATCCTGGGCTATCATTTATAAAAGTTAACAGGGCATATTTAATTTAGGAATTGGCTAACGCTTCTCTTTCTACCGCTGAAACCTCATAAATGAAATATACTGGATTGCTGCCCAGTGCGGAAATAAAAGTTATGAATAATGTTTCTATCTCAATCATTGTCAGTGCTTTAATATTCCTAATTACTTTAAAAAGCTAAATATTCAATATAGGAAAAACCTTCTTTTTCTTTTTATCTTCACTTGCAAGATTAGTGCAATTTAATAAGAGTCACTGGGTAGTTCTAGTCCACGAGACCATTCTATCCTTTGACATCCTTTCCTCTTCAGTTTTTCAAAGGACAGAGTACTCATTATTCTCTGTGCGCATGTGTGTATTAATGTATACATCCATAAACATGCGTCCATGTTGTCAAAGGTTTTTTTTTTGTTATTATTTTAACTTCTCTAAGTGCACATGCACTGTATAAATACTCACTGGCTGTTAGGTTAAATGTTTCTATTACTAAAAATAAGCAAAGGATAAAATGAATTCCTGAGATTCTACATGATATTTTACAATTGAAGGTACTATTTTTCTTTTTTAAAATATTGTAATAGTTATTCAGTATGTTATGCTGCTCAATTTTTCCCTTGTCTAGATCCCAAAAGGTTTCTTCAAGCCCCAAAGTATGGCCTTTCTTTCTGTCCTTCTGTCTCCCTCTTGCCTTTTCTGCTGTAACTGAGGAGACATCAGCAAAGCTGCAGACAAAACACCAGTAACTTGACCAGAGAAGAGCCTGCCCCATTACTTCAGCCTCTGGAGGTTTTTGTCCCCAGTCACATTTAACTCCTATTTTCTTCTAATGTCTCCCTTTATAGAGCCCTTGTCTGTTATCTTTTTGCCTGGTAATGATGTCTCTTTCTTAGGATCCCAATCAATGTGGGGGAAAGGGAGGATGTAAAAGCAAAATGAAACATTCATTCAGTAAATGACTCACAGCATCTTTCTCGATGCAGCTTTATTTACTTGCCTGATGCACAAATAGACTTACAATTTAACAAGCTTATTTCCATTGTCAGCAAGGCATTGGGCCTGTGTTACATAATATCCCTAATGTTTGTACTGGAAAGAACACTAGCTGTTTCATTCCAGCGTGAACTAATCACACAGACTTCAACTTATCATTACCAATTAAGAGAGTCTGACATACACAGCTTCCCCAGCTGAAAGAACTGAAAGCCCCAAGTGTGAATTAATTTCCTAGCAAAAGGTGCAGAACTACCACCTCCACCATTTCCCTAACTTCTGCAGCATGGATAATTTAAGGTGTGGATTTCAAGTCAGAAGGTAGAATCTGGGCTGCATGAAAAGTCAATGGCAAAACTCCCACTGGCTTCAACAGGACAAGGATTCTGTTTGGAGAGAGTCCAAATGACTCCAAATACTCCACAAAGTATTTAATGAAGAATGTGTTGTATTAAAGATTTAAGAGAGAAAAAATTCACAATAGAGCTATATAATCTATATTGGTATCCTAATAACAGCACCAAAAGCACTGAGAGTTTCCTTCACTGCATTTAACACTTCTTTCTAAGGACAAGCAAAAGAGGTGAAAGTCATTATCATAGGAAAGGGTGTTATCACATAGTAATTGTTGCAAAATAACCAACAGACAACCTTCATTTTTCCACATAAGGTATCCAAGGTCTAAGGTTTTTTTTTTTTTTTTTTTTTTTTTTAACAGCAGCATATATCTTTATCACATTTTGTAATCTGTACTCACCACTAGAGCAATCAGTACCTCCCCACCCTGGTTCACAGTGACAAGTGTCAGGAGAAACACATCTTCCATGCACACACTCCTCTGTGCAGAGTGCTGTTAAGAAGAAACAATACAACATTGTAAACATATTAAGTGGTTGGTAAACATACAGTAAACTGTGCCTTAGAGAGCACTAATTTTTTTAAAGATATTAAACAAAACAAACACTCAAAAAAGAATTACTTGCAAGATTTAATTAATAGGAAGTGACCAAAATAAAATGTAGGTCTCTCGACAGCAATAAACTCATTCGTCACTTCAGCTCTTTGTAATGAAAAACTCTTAATACCAGAAATTACTTCGGTTAGCAGTTTTGCTTCATAATAAAATTTTTACCAAACTGACACGTTATTATATTATGTAATATCAGCTTCTTCTATTGCATTCAAGTTGCTACTGTTCATAAGATAAAATGGAGCTCAGTTTTGAAAGTATATTAAGATACAAAATAGATTTGTTAAAAATAGTTCAAGGAAAAGAAATGATGTTACTAAGTTCAGCCTTGTCTTTTTAAGGTCATCAAGTTTTCCATAACTACAGTGCTCTAGATCTTATTTGTCCACTGCTGGATTATTGAAAGTTAAACATCCTCACGGTTCAAACTATGAAAAACTGGTTGGTTTTACTGTCTCACTTGCCAGTTGACTAGAGATATACATGGGAGAATCTCCTTCTCTTCCCCTTGAGTACGAAGAGCTCACGGTTTCAAGACTTATCTTCTCCTGTGCTGCTTTAGTGTCTGACTTACTTTCCAGTGCATGCCAGTATGCCCATCACATACAAAAAACCTTGGACAATACTAAATAACTACTTTAAAGGCTGAACTTTACTGCTTATTACCTTATTTCCATTTTACCACTTAGGACATTGCCAAAAACTCCGTGTCTCAGTGATTCAAATTGGATGGTTAAATTGGAACATATAATTGCCATCTAGGCTAACATGTATGAGTTATTAATGAATATAGTGTAGTGGCAATGAGATCACTATACCACACATAATCTATGTATATACTGTGTTTTTATATCAGATGGGAAATGTGGGTCTTGTTCTTACTTAACCAAGAACTGGCTGAAGCTGGAATACAAAAGACTTATTTCAAGACAAAAATTAATTCATTTCTGTCTAAAACAAGGCTGGCAAAGCTGATTTGGGAGGTAGCTTTGTGTTGCTGTACTGAAAACCAAGCTGAACTACTCAATTCATTTTAAATCAGCCAGTGAACCTTCTTAAAGTTGCACTGGGCCTCCCTTCAGAAACACCCTTTCAGTTCCCAGGTAGCTCATGGGCCAAATGTTTTCCACCAACGCCTCACACATTTGAATGATTCCTGCTGTATTTGATCTCCTGTTTGGACTCCCAGATCACATCTTGAATCTGCACTCAGGCTTGCATCAACATTGATGAAAACATTTTGCTGTCTATTCTGTGTTTGGGTCACTGCAGAGCAAACCCACTAAACTACTCACAATATATTTAAATCCAACTTCACATCACAAGTAAACTTTAAATAATCCCATGGGGCAAATCTTCCTGATCTTCATTAATTCATCAGATCACACATGACCAGTGATTAGAATGTTGCCTCGTTATAACGACTGCAAGATCTTTCTAGATTAGTCATTTCCTATCTAGGTTCACTGCACGTCAGAAGTGCAATTTGTTCTTATTTCATATCTTGTGTTTAGACAGTATTGCAGGGGGCATGAAATATTGATAGCTAATTCTCTAGTCACTAATTGTCCTAATCTTTTGTGCATTTATTTTACTTGAGTTAGGGTTTCTGAAGACAGTGAGGCATCCTAGTCTACAGCTGTAAGATGAAGTTCAATACAGGGTATTAGAAAAATGGGATTTTCCAATTAAAAAATACATGCCTTCATGAAATCATTGAAAAATGGCTGGTTAGCATCTATGACAAGAAATCCACATACAGAGCAGCCACAAACTTATAGTTTGTTACTAAAAATACAGTGTACTAAAAGATATACAATCTGGTGGGATAGGGATACTTTGAGAATTCTGCCCTGTATAGCTTTATCTAAGAATACGACCCTCATTGAAGTAACTCTTACACACTAGTTTTATAGAAAGTATGGAAATAGAAACTGAGACTTTTTTGTTCCCTGTATGGACATTTAGAATAATAAATCTCTCTTACATGTAAAACACGCACCGTTTTATCCTTTTAAATAGGCTAGGTTCTCAGGTCAAGGCATAATTTCTGAGTAAGAAGGCTGATGATGGGCTGTTTCTTTGTTCTTCCAAATAACAAAACTCATGCTTATTACTGGTCTAAATTTAGTTGATTTAGCCACACAAACATATCACACCTTGACTATGATAATATAAATACAAAATAATAATGACTAATTAAGCTAATAAAGTTTACTTAATCACTTATCTGTGGAAAGAAGTGCTGACTTTCCTAGCAGTGCTCCAGTCCCTTGGGATGAGTGCTGTGTGAGACTTAGAAGCAAGACTCAGGAGAGTATTTCTCATTCTAAAGCCATCAGGGATATGCAAAATACAAACAATACTATAGAGAACTGCATCTTTGGTTTTAGGTGTATACCTGAAGATGACAACATTTAATAAGTATTTCAAAAGTCAAGTAAGGTAAAGTCACTCCTTGAAACTGTGGGTTCTCTCATCTCTGGTTTATTAACTTGCTAAACAAGCAACTACGAGCTCACTAGTATATAATCATTGTCAGCTGTGAAATTACACAGGAGTAATCACATATGTGGGGGTCACAGAAATCCCTCTTTTTTAAAAAGGGAACCTTTGATATAAGCCGTTTTATTCAAGGAGGCAAATGATCAGACTGCCACACTGTCTGATTCGAATCAGGCCTATAAAGGTCATACTAGGGTACAACTCTAAAGTTTTACCATAGCAAATAAAATTTTGAATTTCCCTTATAAAAGGGAAGTCTTGCCTTGCTCTAATCTTTAGAGTTTAAATTAATTTTTCATTCTATTAACATTCAACATAATAGGATACAATGGTCCCCAAGGCATTCTTCATAATATACTTTGTACAGTGGTTTGCAAATGATCTTACTGGTTAATGGAACTATAAAAACTACTTGCACATAAAGGTCAAGAAAAATAAAGATAAGTATATACTTTCCGACACTGTCCTGTTCAACACTCAGCTAAAGGCCCCTGGTGTAAAAAAAACCTTGTACTAATGCAAGGAATATAATTCCTCCCAGTATAACAGCCCAAGTTCAACCTTAGGAATTCCAGACTTTTTATGTCTGCATTTTCCCTTGACCAATTCTCCTGAACAATCCAGCACCTCATTGATCAGTTTATTATTAGCATTCTTGGCATGAGTTTGAGATCAGTTTGTAGTTTGATTCAGCCTGGTAATAAAATGACCTACATCAAAGCCCTGCCAAAATGCCATCTTTGTAGCAATGTGTTTAGCATGAGTTATTTGGCCATATTCAAGGTTACACAGCAACTGCTCCTTATCATGGAATAAAGTCAACAAAAGGGTTCTCTAACAATTCATTTGATGCTTATCACTTACTTTATAATTACAAGCAGTGCTTTTTTTTAACATATAAGGTCAATCCTCAGGGAAATAGACCTAAAGATTAAACTCTTTTCACACCTGAAATGACTGAATAGATTTCTTTAACACTAGCACTTATTTTTCAATTGTTGTCCTGAATTTGAATTTAGATATATTAAATGGGTTGTCTGTGTCTCCTATCTACAAAGGTATGAAATAGCCAGGATGTTGTTATTGAGGAGTACTCTGCTAAGCGGAGCAGACTCTTCTGCCTGGAGAATACTTTCATTGCAGAGATACTTCCACTGAGTGGCACCAGTTTATCCCAGACAAAAGCAGCCCCAGTTGAGGGATGGAGAGGTACTCTGTCTGCCTTGGTGCTGCATTCCTCTGTTATGGTTTAACCTTGCTGCACCGTGTGGTTTATACACTGTTATACCCTGCTCATCACTACATTATCAACTCACTGACTTCTTGTACTCCATTAAGCAAGGTAAGTAACACCTACCACAATTACCCTCTTACCTCTTTCCTAGAGGTGGAAGCATATTTAGAGAAGTTTCGTTCTAGGGGAATAAGTACAGAGTGATCTAGCTTGGGAAAGTTTTGTTAGTTTGTCCAAAAATATGTGCATTTATTTCACAACAGGCAGAGTCAAAAAAACATGTCTTATTGTGACAAAAGTGGTAACATTTGCAGCGGTCCTCTGAACCTGGAGGAATTCACAGCCACTGACCCAGCAAGTTCCACCTCCTTCCCACTTCAGCTGGTGGGACTTTGTTGTATCAGACAAGCAAATAGCTTCAAAACAAAGAACAGTACAATTACAAAGTCTAATGGAACCCAGAGTAGAAAGCAGAAAACAAGATTCATGAACTGTACTCCTTCACAGCAGCGCATGCTGCTGGAGAGACGTGCCGGAGTGTTCTGTACAAGCCAGAGTTTTTCCTGGGCTCTGCGGGCTTTCTGCCCAGGGACTGTAGCACAGCCAGGAGGTGACAGAAAGCATAAATAAATGCAGATACAATATAATAATGGAAAACATTGCTAAATAAAGATACAGATGCTACTATATGAGAGCAAAGACATGATGAGAAATCCAGGCACTCTCCTAGAAGTGCACAGAATGACGTGTTCTATTGTAACTGCACATGGTGCCCCATGACTGCAAGTTTTTCAGAATACTTTTCTCTTCTCTGCCCTACTTTAGGCGGTCTCTGTCAGTTTTTCTTCACTACACACTGATATCACCCAAACTCTGACCAATTTTGTTTCTTTGCCATGAACCAAATGTAGACCTGTATCTTTTCTATTATGTTGCTGGCATTTTAACTAGAGGTCATCTAACCAAGTTTGCCCCTTGCTTGATAGCTGTGGACTACACAAAGCAGAAATTTAATGGGAAAAGTGTTGTTTTCTTCACTATTTAATATGTGTCCCTGGAACAATTCAGGCCATTTTAGCACATTCCTCCAGTGCCTTGTGCCACTTTTAAGGGAAAGAATAATTTTGTCAGGTGATATAGC